CTTAACTAACTTACTTTGTTTCTAATCGAAAAACGAAATTCACTTAACTTTTTCGCAAATTGCCAACAACAAAGAACGCACTGCGAGGGAGGTCAATATAAAAATATATGTATATGTATGTATTTGTATATTCTTAGCTTGGTGGAAAGGAGCATGCGGTGAGGTGGCGAACAAAAGACTCCCAAAGGGATGGCAATGGGGAGGTGGTGCCGTAGAATAAAGAAAKAATAGCACACGGAAAAAATGGGGAGCCATTACAGCCAAGAGGAACAGCAACAACCAAAGCAACAACAAGAGTAAAAAATATGCACAGCAATCACCACAACCACCATAAAGCACACATTTGTACGGTTGCAAGCGCCATTTGTGCTGTTTTTATTACCAACGTTGTTGTTGTTGCTGCTATTTTTGTAACTCATGTTGCTGTAGTACGCTATAATGTGCTTATAAAATAAATATTGTATGAAGCAAGTGGTGGGCGTCGTCACTGAAGCCAACTAAATAKATGGCCGGAAGGCTAAAAAGTGGCAACAAAACTGAAAGTCGAACGTATACTTTTGTATGTATGCGTGTGCACTTGCCACAGGGGTAGTTGGCAGAGAGAATAGAGCGAAAAATTGTAAGCGGCGACTGCGCAACCGAGGACACACTCTCATCGGCACTCGCAGATAACTGTATTGATACCATATACACCACCCACAAATGAGCATGAGCTCTGCTGTGGCCCCCTGCCATCCACGCCCACAAAATAGCGTACAATGGAAGGCGTACAAGTGGGTGTACAATCAAGCCAATCCGAAATGATTCAAGCTAATATACGCCAAGCTTTATTCTATAACCACTTACAATGTTAAACCGAAGCGACTACAGCAACAAAAAAAAAAAAAAGAAAAAAATTGCAAATAAAATGGAAAATCAACATGATTACTGGTGGTGCGGAAGAGGTAGGCTACACATTGAAGCTCCGCCAAGCATCTCATTGTTTACACTGCACCTAAATCCCTAGCAGCTCTTGAGGGAACAGCTGTGTGCTGTTTGGAGCGTGGAACGTGGAATGTGAGAAGCTTCGGCACCTCAGTYCGGCTTAGCACCGTCTGCAATCGGCAGTCTGCTCGTTTGCCTGGCGGCGTGTGGCATTTAGAGATTGTTATGGCTGACTGTGGCATGATTACAAGAAGTACGGCGTGTTTGTTGTCGCCGACGCAGAGTCRCAGAGTCCTACAGTCCYWCAGCCYCACAGTCACATAGTCGCCAACAAGTCATTGTCTTTTGCCGCATTCCGTCCTTGGAGACAACCGCAGCTACAGCTGTATCTCGTATTTGTGCGGTTGAAGCTAACGTCATTTCCCAATTCCCATTTTCGGCTGSCAAGTCAAGCAGAAATTTTGTGCAGCATCTAATTTGAATTTTGATTAGAAAACTTACTTACTTAGTTACTTACTTACATACACACTTGTGCTTACTTAGTGGTTATGGTGGCTATGGCTTCATTTCAACTGCTTACTGTGGTCGCTTCGCAGCTGGAGGCTGGYGTCAATCCATAACTTCTCATTCTCCCGCTTGTTTTCGGCATTACCTCGTCACTAACCGCCTCCATCTCTCTCATTGTGTTGGTCGGTTGTATGCAATTGTCTCTAACAAATCCCATTAGACTGCTAGGAATCAGCGAAAATCGGAAGTGAAATCATTGCGGAAGGAAGTCTCGTATACATGGGCTCATACATACATACACACATTACATGTCTACAGACATTTAGAAGTATAAATTGGATTGTTTTATTGAAATGAATGGCTGATTGTTTCATTAAACTTTATGCGCAAGTAAATAGTATTTTTAGTGGGATAATACTTTTGATGGGATTTTATAGCGTCCCCAAGCAACTGAGCGCGGATGGCGTGCAATTTTTTCCGGTTACATTGCAAAATGTGTTTTGGRAGTCACACACATGGTGAAAASTGRTTCTTATTATCGTTGGGTATTTGAATTGAAATARTTGTATTTCATGTCTGCGGCTCAAATTTCATGGTTTGTTTTTTTATGATGATGATTGTGATCCCTATTTGGTAACTTGGATTCTACGATTTTCTGCTAGTGTTCTGGATTTCAGGCTCCCTGTTGCAGAACTCGCAATTAGCGCAAACAGCAAATGTGTATAAGTTCTTCTTCAGYTTACAGTATCCATGTATAATGCGACAAGTAGCCTGAATTTGTCCCTAAGGAGGTTAATTACATATTTAAACCAGCTGAAGTTCTAACCTCCCATTAGCGACTTGGCATGGCGCATGTCTTTGCGTTGTTCGCAATACCATCTTCCTTGCAAAGCGTCTTTTTTGTGGTATGGGGATCCAAAGCGACGAATTTTCATGTTAGTGGATTCTGCGGAGGGGTCGAGCTCACCAGTTGTTAGCTCATTCCCGGCTATACCTTTGTGACCGGGCACCCAGATGAGGTGCCCTTGGTTCCGTTTCGCTAGACTATTCAGCCGTGCTCTACACTCTTGTACCAGTGTGATTTGATCTCATGGGCAGTGATTGCTTTAAGTGACACTTGACTATCGCTAAGTGTGGTATCACTATGGCCACTATATCGTTGCGATAGCTGCGTTGAAGGTTTATCTTTATGCACCGACTAATTTCTCAAAGTCCACCAGGTTGTRTRCAGTTYCAAATCTTTRAAACGTATTGGAATCGAYAAATTRCGGTCTTSAGTGGCACTTGCCTGAATATMTGCAATATTTTCWTTACTTCGAGYGGTTCTTTGTCTAACTGACACTCGAATATTATGTAACAGAAATGTCCGCTTGAAATTTTCAACAATTCCTCAATTAGCGATCTCAGGAGGACGACTATTACGGCCATAAAATGGTACAAGCGCACGAAAAGTTGAAGTTGAAGAACAATTATTTGCTAATAAAATTGAATAATTTGTAGACGTTGTTCTATAAAACTATAGATCATGACATATTAAAAATGGCCAAACCGACACTTAAAACTCATATCATCCTTATTAGAAACCCCGTTGGTATCTGTTGTAAGACGAGCCAGATAAACTGTCTACATCAGAAAAAGTATCCTTCTTTGCGGAATAGTTCTATTCGCAGTTTTTAGTTCATTATTTAGTATTGTATTATCGGGAAAGTTTCGAAAATGTTTCAAAAACTTCATTGAAGCGTACTGCAGAGATATCAAATTTATCTATTAGGCTTTGCATTAGTTTTGAGTGCCTTAGTTTCGTCATTTGTCTGCTTGCTATTTTTTGTTCCTGTTCTCTTGTAAAAATTAAATAGCCTGCTTAAAGCCTGTTTAATTAACTCATAAATATGTTCGATTCGCCACTATCAAAAGTTTAGCGATTCCAAAAAAGCGAATATAAGGGTTGATAAACGATTAGTGGATTTCGGTACTTTTCAGATCGTATACTTTTCACAGATCGTTTAAGCTATACTCTAGCAAATCAAGGGTCTTTGGTACTGGAAATACCGTTATACTCGTAACCACATTATCGATATATACTACATTTTAGACTTGGATTAATATAGTTTATTGACACTAGCCTATCTTACATAAGTTCTCAAACTTGGTACTCTCAGTATTCGACTCCCCGTTTCTCCAGTATCTCTCTAATAAGTTTTGATTATATATAATGATTGACAAAGAATTAYAATCATTTAAGTTTTTCATTATAACGTCTTACGAGACTTCTGTGCTTCTGTGTTGGTGAAAATCAACTTCAGAGGTTCATATTTGACCTTAAAATATAATATAATAGGTTACAGTTTTATTTGCCTGTTTTAATGGCAAAAGTTACGTCTGGTATTGCGTTAAGCTCAGAGAGTTGGATCAGTTGGCGGGGAAATAATTGCGTGGTTCTTAGTATATGTACATTAACCCATAAGACCATGGTGTAGACTGCTCTTTCGTCCACTCGTTTGATCCGTTTAGATCTTTTTTTTTTTTTTTTTTTTTTTTTTTTTTTTTTTTTTTTTTTTTTTTTTTTTTTTTTTTTTTCCTTTTTTTTTGGAATTAGTGAATTAAACAAAACCTACTGGAACCAAACATTTCAAACGAGCTTTTCGTTCTGGGTAACCGAAGTTTAGGTTATATTTTCTAGAGTTACGTTSGCCTTAAAAATAATAAACTTCTGATTCTCTAAATACATTACATACATACAAAAAGTTAAAATTTACTTGTAATAAAATTAGATTTTAATAAAAATTTAAAACTTATATTACTTTTTAATGCTAAAAATTTTKTTAAGAAAAAGTGTGAAGTAGAAGATTTGCCCATTCAGTAACTTAGATTTCCCACTTAGCTCACGGTGCACTTAACAGGGGAAGTGATGTGTTAAATTAATGGAATTGTCTGAATACATGCAAATATTACAAACGTATCCTGCAGCAAGAATTTGTGCCCGCATTCCTCGGTAATCCTTGGCGAAATGCCAATTTACCCTTGCTCCAACGCATATCCTTCGTACAAACGTCCTCACAATTATTATTGTTTTTGTTTTCATTGTTGATATTAATTTATTTTTGATTGCAACAATGGCGTAAACAGCCGGAACAAAAGCAAATGGCGAATGAGAGTGGGGAATGGAGGCAAACCSATCTCCTCTTTCCACTTGCTTGTAAYRCGAAATTCTTCCACAGAGTTGGCCTAACGAGCCTGCAGGATGCGTGCGCATGTGGGCATATAATAAATAAATTGATAAAGTTTCTGAGGTGGAAAATTGGGTTTATTGTTTGCATGTTATGCATTTGTTGTGCCCTTGAGTGTATGTGCTTATCTGCGTATGAATTGCCAGCGTGAGTCTGTCGAGCAGAAAACTTTTTCAATTTCAATTTTCACAACTACGCCCCTTGGCTACCGCACTTAATATATAAAATTATTGTRAATTATCTTTGGACATTCCAACCACTCACCCACCCACACACACACGCATACACATACACATACCGAAATGCAACCAAGTGAAACTGACGCCATTTTTGTTATTGCAGGTTTGGTTTCAGAATCGACGCGCAAAATGGCGTAAAGCCGAACGCCTTAAGGATGAGCAACGCAAGCGCGAGAATGGCGAGAGCAGCGGTTCGCTGGACAAGGTAAATACACAAATTTGTTCACACACTCCGTACTATTGTATAATATTCGTTATTTCTTCTAATAATTTAATTTCATCTTTCAGTTGCACGACAGTCGCGAGTCTTCGCCKGACATTACCGGCGAAATCGACGATGATGAACCGTCGTTGCGTCGCTCGCATAGTCCCGGTCCGCCGTCGGCAAGTCCGCATGCCATTGACTCGGACAATGAACGTCCGCTCTCGTCGACACAGCTTACCACACAATCGGCTTCGCAATCGGTCGGTTCGATAAGCGCTGGTTCRCCTTCGCCCAGTGCGCGCGCCACGCCTCAGCATTGCCCCAATAGTCCGACATCGAATTCCCGTCATACCGATTCGCCCATCGAAGTTGGCGGTCCGATTTCGTTGACCTCGCGTACATCGTCCGGCACTACGCCCACATCGGCGCTACACAGCACGCCCACCACTTTTGGTAGTCACATTTTCGGCAATTTCGGTGGTGATAGGTGAGTGAATGTATCTTTTTTATTTTTCTATTGAAATATTTTGTTGAATTGAAGTGTTGAAAATGTTGCACCTAAGAGAAGTACCTGATATCAGGTCAGATCAATAATTAAATTCGCTGATAAATACCGGGTGAAAAGCTAGGCTTTAGACCCTTCTAATTAACCACGAAGTCTCGAACAATATTCAGTTATTTTTGATTACGTTCGACAACATTTCGATTTAATAGGGGTTATGTGTCTTGTATCGATAAATATTCTTAAAAATTCATAGCCGAAACTCTGTCGAGGCTAATACAGAAGATATAAAGTTGTGGTTATACTTTGCATAAGCTTAAAACTTGAAGCATGGAACCAGTTATTATTGAAGTTGTCAAGTTGAACTATCTAAGTAACATTTCTTGGCCAARTATAAATTCAGGTTCGTTTCGGTTACCTAGATTATCCGAAAGTCGTGGAAACAACTCTGCTCAAGGCTTGTATTATAAAGTAGAAATAGTGAAGACAGAATCTGCTGTCGAAAAGTAAGGATAGGGGGTTTCCTTCTTTTCGTGTTTCATATATATTCTTAAGGATGAAGTTAGAAAGACATAAAAAGACATAGTGATCGTGAGTAACTCTATCTGAAAACTAAAGAATCTTGAATCGAGAATAAGCAATTGAATGATGATACGAACTCTTGCTGAGAGTCGTACTTTAATTAAACCACGAAGATTCTGTGACCGCCTCCATTTCACCTTTGATCGGAAGAATTTAAAGTCATTTTATTTTCATTAATCGCAACAAAACTGGTACACGATACAGTAATTACCACATTAATGGATTAACTCTCCAACTTTACAAATCTGCCATAAGTTTTCCTTGTCGTGGTGCAAATAATTTTGTCTAAACAATAAGTTTCACTCACACAAACTCTCACTTTCTCATTAGAGTTTCGGGATTTATTTGCGCGCATCTAACTAAGAAGGCGGTGAATATCGTTTAAATGTTGGTCACGTGCACGCAATTCCAAGTCATTAACGACTAATGTGGAATCAAACGTGGCGAAGGCTCGACGCGACGTACAGACAAAAGTTTGCGCTTAATGTTTCCGCAGAGCATGCTGTTTCCGGCAGAACAGCAACAAAATTTTTCGATATTTCAAATGGATCGGTGTGGACAGAGGGTCCCAGCATGGTGTCCGATGGGCAGATAAACAAAGTCGACGCTCACACTATGTTAGCGGAGGTAACAAGCAGGAAATCATGCTTTGGTAAATGGCGAAAATTCTTTAGTAACGGTGGTAAACGTTCCGAGACACATTTCCGCCATATTGAGAGGCAGCGCTAGAGCGCGCTATGAAAGCGAGGGGCAGCAAAGTGTTCAAGAAAAGTTGCTAGTGGAAGTGAATTATGTTAGATTTTTGTGGATAACGGCATGTTTTTTGTAGAAAATTGTTGACGTATCGACTAACGGGGATTAGAAAAAAACTTTTAACGAGTCTGATTGCAATATACTACAGTGTTATACACATAAATCAAGAAAATCGAATGACGAACTAGTAGGGATGGTTCGCCCTGAAGTGTATAACATCTAGAAGAAAACGTTGGGTACCCTATAACGTAAAACGTAATTTAATTTGAAAGAACATGCTCTGGCATTTATTTTTTGAGGTAGGAGAAGCATCGAAAGCTGAAGTGGGGACTTTAATCCGTTAAACCTAACCTACTTCCATCTCATGTCTCTCCCACGAGAATACTTGACAAATTATTACTTCATGGAAGAGAAGAAGACATTTAAATTTCCTCTATTGCACGGACTAACTGACGCCTAATTTGTCGCAGTAAATGTTTCAGTCAAAACTAGATCTGACGCTTCGTTGSCAGCTTTCCATTTAACAGAAGACTCGCACATAAGTGCAGTCAAATCTTTRAGACTAYTTCCTAGTRTGGTTTACAGCTTTTYCSTTATAATTGAAATCCTAGGCCAATGAGAGAGGACGTGTATAGAGTCTTCTACACACTCTGTACTCGTCCGACAGTCTGTGGGTACACCGTCCTTTGAATAAAAATTTGCCACCGTTGCTGCCACATTGAATTTGCTTTTGATTCTCTTCTCTCTTTTTGCTACGGTAGACGTCTCTTCGCGCGAATTCGTCTCTCTGGATGTCAATCGGAATCTCTTTCAAATGTTGGCCGTGGCCACATCTCAGATGGTCTATCCGTTGAGTCCAATTTTCGTTGACTCGGTCGATCATGTCAACTGGTAACAAATTACTTGGTTGATATTCTGCTCCAAGGCCTGAATCCATGCGGGACTGTCCGTTTAGACTGTAGACTTTACATATCCCCACARTRCTCATCGAAGTGTTCTCTCAATAAATCTATTGATTCATGCAATGTGTGGGAAGTTGAAACCAAATGTCCCCGAGATCACGAGCTTCTATTTCAGGACCAAATGGTCGGTTAACATAGCGCGATATCCGTCGCCATTAACAGTTAAACTCTTCAGGTTGCTCCTCCTCTCAAATGCCACAATTTTGCTTATGTACATATCCGTTTAGCCAGAAATGGTCCTCATTACTGAACATTTGGCTCAAAAATGTCAGATCTTATTGGAATATTTCCAGAGCCCTTGGARCGAAATGCCAAACAATACTGAACAAAAATAACATGACAGCTTGACACGAGTCATGCGTGATCTGTAAGAAAAATGCTATTTAAAAAAGTACCACTACTTGGAATGTATCTCGGAAGGCAAACTTCGGTGCAGTGAAAGTTAAAATTAATTTCCTGAAACAGCCGAAATTAATTCGAAGCATCTCCTAAACCAATCAAAAACTATATTGTTCGTTTCTTGGTTCAACTTCACAAAGAGTTTTGACACTAAGTTAGTCATACACTCTCTGTTCATTAAAGAGGAATTAGAAAGCCCCATTTTTACATTCGATAAACTTCCTTTCCAAAAGTTTTTATGTTTTGAAAAAATTTTAACATTTCTTTGCAATATTTTACACCCTTCATATTCCTGCAAATGCCTATAGGGTCTACGGTTCGCTTCCGAACCGTATCTAGTCCTTTCTTACTCTCCTAGTTATTCCATCTACTTTCCGCGAAATTCGATTCCCGTTAATTGGACCATTTTAGTTCAGATTTCCGCTTGTTTTTATTTTCCTCAACTTATTTAGCTTTCGAGTGACTCTAAAGTATGTTTACGCTTTGCTTTTTGTTTGCTGCTGTCGCTGGTCGCTCACATCCTTCATAATCAATTGCTAATTTAACCATTGCCACATAACAATTACACTACCGTTTACACCCCGCCCGCTGCGCCACACCAACGATCACGCGTCGGCCGAGCGCTGAGCACATATGATTATTATTTATTAATGTTTACATTGCAAAGGATGCGAGGGTTGACATCGATTGTCGCAGATTTGCTGGCGCTGCTGTAAAAAATCCCACCTAAATGCGCCCTTGTAAGTGTATGTGTGGATGGAGGGTTGTTTCACAGCCGCCCCTTGCTGCACATGCCTGTCGCTTAATACCGTTTCTGGGCTCTTTTTTGTTTTGCCTGCTGTTTGCTTCCTGCTACTTCACTTTCCCTTTGTCTGCCTGCGCTGCTGCTGCTCTACAAATGCTTCCTGGTACTTCCTTTATCGCTTTGACATTTTTTCAATGTTATAACCTAACGTATTGTTGTTGTTCTTGTTGGCATGTATTTCATCAAATTGTCGGTACAAAATGCGACACTTGCTCGCAATAAATTTGTTTGCCTGTTTGCCGGTTTGTTTGTTTGTTTGCTTAATTTTAAGTGGCTTAATGACACGGACGTAATTAGCAAATCGTTAGAAGCATAGCTTAGTCGGCTATTTAAAAGTTTGCTCTTGTTGTTGTTGGCATTTCTTGTAGCTATTATTGTGCGGGGGGATGGTTAGCTACTTGGAAATTCATGACAATTAAAATGTCTGGAATGAGATTTGCGTTGCACTGATGACGTTAACGATGACAACAACAACAACAACAACAACAGCAGCAAAGAAGATATAATAATAAAAACGAAAACATTTACCATCACAGGAAAGCCGAGTATGACAGCAAACCTAAGGAAACGTGGTGTATTTGACTAAGTGGGCTGGTCAGTGTAATCGTATTTACGAATATGCTCGTATATGGATATCTGAATGCAGACAGGCACTCGCACAAAAGCTGCCAACTGTGATNGACATTACCGGCGAAATCGACGATGATGAACCGTCGTTGCGTCGCTCGCATAGTCCCGGTCCGCCGTCGGCAAGTCCGCATGCCATTGACTCGGACAATGAACGTCCGCTCTCGTCGACACAGCTTACCACACAATCGGCTTCGCAATCGGTCGGTTCGATAAGCGCTGGTTCRCCTTCGCCCAGTGCGCGCGCCACGCCTCAGCATTGCCCCAATAGTCCGACATCGAATTCCCGTCATACCGATTCGCCCATCGAAGTTGGCGGTCCGATTTCGTTGACCTCGCGTACATCGTCCGGCACTACGCCCACATCGGCGCTACACAGCACGCCCACCACTTTTGGTAGTCACATTTTCGGCAATTTCGGTGGTGATAGGTGAGTGAATGTATCTTTTTTATTTTTCTATTGAAATATTTTGTTGAATTGAAGTGTTGAAAATGTTGCACCTAAGAGAAGTACCTGATATCAGGTCAGATCAATAATTAAATTCGCTGATAAATACCGGGTGAAAAGCTAGGCTTTAGACCCTTCTAATTAACCACGAAGTCTCGAACAATATTCAGTTATTTTTGATTACGTTCGACAACATTTCGATTTAATAGGGGTTATGTGTCTTGTATCGATAAATATTCTTAAAAATTCATAGCCGAAACTCTGTCGAGGCTAATACAGAAGATATAAAGTTGTGGTTATACTTTGCATAAGCTTAAAACTTGAAGCATGGAACCAGTTATTATTGAAGTTGTCAAGTTGAACTATCTAAGTAACATTTCTTGGCCAAATATAAATTCAGGTTCGTTTC